ATCACCACTCATATGGTGTCAGGGGCAGAGCTGAGGGATGTAAAAAGATACCGAGAAAAACACGTTTGCTGCTACCCTGTCCTCGCTGTCTCTTGACAAAGCTGGTTGAACATCAGCTGCAGTGGCTCCTTGTATTTGCTCTGTCAGCTTGGTCTACTAAGTATTTGCTATGCCTCCTTCCACATGGGATGTGACTTTGGGTATTATCTACCCCAGGTTTAGATCTTCTGAGATGGTTTTGTTAGAGATTCATCAGGAGGGCATAAAGGATGAACAGTCTTTTTAGCGATGGTGGGTTCTAGACTATGAAATGCCCTTCCCAGGTCATTTTGTCTAGCAATTTCCTGATTATCTTTTGCAATAGGCGTGCCCAGCCTGGGAAAGCCCTCCAGAGGTGTGGACCTCAACACCCGGAATTCTTAGCCAAAGCTGTGCTCCTAGGAATTCTGGGAGTTGAAATCACCCGTGTGGAGAATGCCCAGGTTGGGAAAGGCTGGATCACAACATGCCTGTGTTTTGATTTTGCTGTTACTATCTTATTATTTTTATTATGCTTTTTTTTTTTTTAAGGAAAGGATATCTGTGACCGGTGACTCTGAGTTCTTTGTGGGGTTTTTATGTTTGTTTTCATGGGGATGAAAGTACAAATGTGTAAAGATGTTTTACAAATCTATACGTGTCAGAAAGCTTTCGATTTCCTGAGGTCCCGTTGATGAGTTTGATGTGTTATTCTGCTGCCGTTGTTTCAGCTGTCTTGCAAGCTGTTGTTTTTATTTCAGCTGGCTGTTAACTCATTGTGAAGGATTTTTTTAAAGCATTGTAGTTGTTTTTTGGTCCAATACAATACATAGATTATGCATGGGGAATGTGGGTGTCAATATGTATATATCTGATACACACACACACACACACACACACACACACAGAGTCCTCATTTAGTGACCACAATTGGGACTGGCAACTCAATCATTAAGTGAAGCGGTCACTAAGTGAAACCATGACTGTGCTTATGATCTTCCTTCAGCTTTCCTTTGCATGCTGGCTGGGGAATTCTGGGAGCTGAAGTCCACACATCTTAACGTTGCTGAGATTGAGAAACACTGCTTTATAGACCTGCAAAGATTGTGAATGCAAGGACTGGTCACAAAGTTACTTTTTCATCACTGTTGCAATGGTGAATGGTCGCTAAATGGGTCAGTTGCTAAATGAGGACTACTTGTGTAAACACACCCACAAATAATAACCTTTTGGGTTATAATTCCTAGGACAGCCCATTTTAATTGCTACTCCTGAGTGATCCTGTTTCCTTCCTTTACCCATCCTAGATTATACGGAGAACGTGGAGTTTGTTTTGGATTCTCCAAAGGTCATCAAAGAAGGGGATGATGTGCAACTACGATGCCAGGGCGATGGGTCCCCCCAACCTGAATATTCATTTTTCAAAGTGCAGGTACTGCTTGGCCCAGTCCTAGTTCCTTCCCCTAGGGAAGGAGAATTGGGCTGGGTAATCTATTTTGGCATGATCTGTCCAAAAAGGCTGAGACAAAAGGAAGGAACATGGTTCATTAAGAACCTTGTTTTCTGTGTGGGTTGCATGTCCTCAGGCACTTCTGTGGCCTAATGCTGAGTTAAGTCATGTACATCACCTGTCCCACTGGTAAAGCCATCTTGGTCTTTGGACCATATGTTGGGGTCGGTCCTTGGAACAAGCTGCTGATGGCTCAGATTCAGCAGGAACTTCCCGATACCTGTCCTTTGATGTCATCCCTCCAGCCTTACCTGACTTTCCTTCCTCCTCCTCCCCAGAGTCCTAATAACCTGTCCGACTTGCCCACCAACACTGATGGTATCCTGATTCTTCCACGAGTGACCAAGGCTGATAGTGGGACATACCGCTGTCAGGTGCTGGACTTCTATAGTCCCCCAGAGGTGGAACTGGAGAAGGATGTGAGCATCTTCATCAACTGTGAGTGCCCCATGGAAAGCTGGGAGGGAGGCCCATGCCAAGCCTTCATTTTCATCAGCCAGTTGCTCATTAAAATTAAGGCTACACCCTTCCCTGCACCCCTTGTCTACTCTGTTTCAGATCTGGACCCCCTGGTCCTAAATCCAAGCAAGATAGTGAAAGTAAACCGAAGCGAAAACCTTCAACTGACTTGTTCTGGCAGTGGCTCCAAGACACCCACATTGTCATGGAAGAAGGTGGGTCAAATCTACAGGTGCCTCCTTCATAAGTAACACATCTGCCAGAACACTGCATAGATCAAAGATGGCATCCAGAGAGAATAGCACAGAGCTACAGTTTTTTGGGTTGAGGACTAGCACATTCCTTTTGATGTATATTCCCCATGGTGTGCCTGTTTATTCTCTTGTAATCCCTTCCTCTCCAGTCTCTCCACTCTGGGGAGGCATAGGACAATGTGGTCAGGCATAGGACAATGTGTACTGACTGACTGTAATGGTGAACAAATGACTAAGAGGGAGGTGCTGCAAAGGTTGTAAACGCGCACCTTGGTCGCAAAGTTATTTTTTCAGCACCGTCGTAACTTCGAGCTGTCACTGCACGAGGCAGTCGGTAAGTGAGGCCTACCTGTATGCACAACAGTCAGGGTGGTCATTCACCAAGCACCACTCGACCACAAGAACTAGCCTACTGGTGGGACATTGGTGGGCTGTAAAGACATAACTGCACTTGTGGGTCCAACTGTGTATCCCCCATTGTGTTGTCTAGGTAAGCCTTTGCTCTTAAGACAATGAATAGCTTCTCCCTACCCTGGAAGGAAATTGGCCACAGCAGATCTGTGTAACTCTGTAGTTTGCACTGTATGAGAGGCTCATACAGAGATGCCAGAAGTGGGAAACTTTGCCTGGGTAATAAATGTGGGCGAAAGTGTGAAGCAGAATCATTCTTCTGCACCCTCCCTCTGCTAGGAATCTGTGTGAGATGTTGGGTGTCTTTGCTCTGTCGCAAAGCAAGTCCTTGCTCTGTCGCAAAGCAAAAAATGCCGCAAATGTCCTTGGCAGGCTAAGCCGTTGATATTTTTGTCGCTCTCTGTGTCAGTTTATCGCACTGCGATGCCACTCAGGTTCCTGACCTTACCGGATCCACGTTCTTGTATCTTTCCCCCATTTGTAGTTTGCAGTCCCTGAAATGGCTTGCAACTTAGCACGGACAGCAAAGGATCCTAACCTGTGTGTGTGTGTGTGTGCGCGCGCGTGCGTGCATGCATGCATGCACACAGTATGGAGACTTCGAGTCAATCGCCGGCATCCCCTTGATGGCCTCCGAAGTGGGTGAGGCCAAAAATCTCAACCCCACCCCCCGACACACCTTTTTGCATTTTGGGAGTGTTGAGGTCAAAACAGGTGCCTTAAAACTCTTGATTCCTGCCCCCAAGAGTCGTAACCTCACCCACTGTTGGAGTACAGCCCTTGACCCACATCGCAAAGTCTCTTGCAGCCCTCCAGATCACAGCAGACGCACACTTCTGACCCACAGCTTCCCAATGAAAGCGAGCAATGGACGTCTTTAGGAGCTGCGCGTCCTGCACCTTGCATAATTCCGTTTCATATTCACAGGGGCTTATTAAGACAATGGTGGTGGTGGTGGTTACAACGCATGGGATTCCCTTGTCGATGAGCCATAAACGTGGTGTCGGTAGCCACGACGAGCCGAGCGAACTCCAAATCCCAAAGCCTTTTAAAGATGCACAATCCGTAGAGTTTCAGACACTCACTGGGATCCAGAGCAGAGGGAGAACGGACATTCATAGGACACACTGCTTCGGATACCAGTTTTAGGGCTGACCTCGTGGAAGAGCCACATTAATTAGAGTAGCAAGGAGTCCGAAGGAATTGGTAGCACCTTTTCCCACTAACCAATTTTATGGAAAGGCAGAAGCTCATGGAAGCTGATGCCTTTCCATGAAACTGGTTAGCTGGAAAAGGAACGATCAGATTCAGTTTTCGTGCCATTGTTTCAAGATATGGACCGCAGAGCAAAGAGCAACCCATTCTGCAGTTTGGGTTTGACTGAACTGAGGTCTTTACTACTTCTTGAAGACCCAAGGCAGGGAAACACATCTGGAGTAACAGCAGCCATTTTTCCCCTCCTTCCTTTCTCCTGCAGGGAAAGGAGCAGATGGGGAACGGCGCGACGCTGTCCCTGAATGCGCTGACTTACCTCATGGCTGGCACGTACATATGTGAAGCTGCCGTGCCCAGCATCCCTGGACTGAAGCGGAACGAGTCAGTCCAAGTCATTGTAGAAGGTAGGGGTGTGGGCGTGCCATGTTCAGCCCCAGCTAGAGGAAAGGAGGTGAAATGGGGCCGGAGGGAGGGGGCAGCAAAGGCAGATGCTGGAATCAGTAACTGGAGCAGGACAGATCCATTCAGGGAGTTGGCAGCCTGGCATGGCCGAATGCCAATGCCTTTCTTTCTCACCCTGGAACTAGCTTGCTTAAAAGATTTCTATGGGCACCCCATTCACAAAAAGGCAACTCTGGGAGGTATATATGTCAACCCTTCAAGGTAGCCCAGCCAAGAAGCACTAACTCTAACTTTATTGTATGGTTACGTTAACCGAATCTTGCAAGTCTGAAAGTACATCTCTCCCTCCTCACCTTTACAATCCAAGAAACTAGGGAGGGTCTCTTCAGAGACGTTTGCCAGGCCCCCATTCCTTCTGCAGGCTGGCTGCCTCTTATCTGACTGTTGTCCAGTCTGCGGCTCTTCCTCCTGTCTCCCAAGGTCATTCCTGCACACCATTACAGTATAACCTTAAAACAAATCTCCATCTCCAGCCACCACAACTAAAATGCCCATAAAATGAACCCACCTAACATCCTAGCCCCACACCTGAAGGAGAAACAATTGCTAGGCTCTCTCAGGACAGTGGGTGCCTTGCAGCCCACAGAGCCCCCATGAGTCTGACTTCTGGAAATCACAAGCACCAATGCCTGATGATTTGAGGTAGGAAGCAAATGCTTTAGTGAAAGCTGTAAATTGGCCATAAAAAAAGAAAACCTCCAAACTTTCTCTTCATACCCTCCCCCCCAAAAAAAGAAACTTAGAGGGGAAAAGGTTTTGCCAATGTGTATGTTATAGATGACCATCTTTGCATTTTTCCTCATTCTTTCCTCTATGGCAGTGATTCTCAACCTCAGCCACTTTAAGAAGGGGGGACTTCAACTCCCCCACATTCCCAGCCCGGCGGGGAGTTGTGGGGGGT